GTATCGTTATCGGTGCATCCCTAACAGAAAGTCATGTGACAGATGTGATTTAATTAAAGAGCTAGCGATCCTTCCATGGAAAAGGAAACAAGCAGATAGAGGAACAGCTCCTAATGCTGGAACGGTTAAACCTGGTTTTAAATATTTAGATGATGAGAGGAGCCACAAACAGCTTTGTTGTCCTTGAAGTTTTCATTCAGTTTTTGGTTGCGCTTGGTTTCTATATGGCGTGACGCCCACCATCACCTGTTATAAAGAAAGGTGATGTTTTTGCTTCGGTCTAATCTTTTCAGGAAAAAGCGCAGTGACCAGACTGGCTCTGCTGATGTGCAAATGAACAATGACGAGGACCTTGTTGCAAACACTGATGACGACTCTGAAGATGAAGGTAAAACAAAGCATGCAGGTTTATTATAATTCTGTAAAAGTTACTTTCTAATATCATATAGAAGTGTGAGGTCGTTACATCTGAACGAGACAGCAGCCGACTGCTAACTGATCATGTTTGTCCTTGAATGGGTCACTGTCCCACTCATCTTGTCTTACTGGTGTTGATGCTCCAGAGCTTCTCGTCCTCCTCTCTTACTCGCAGCGGTCCTGAAGTTTGAAATGACACCGTGTGCCTGTCCACTTCTTCTTAATTTAAGAATCATCCCAGTCAGACTCACAGATGTTTGTCTGATTTCTTCATTAGTGGAGCTGATGCCTAGCAAATGGGGCCTGGTGATGGACAGGTTACTGGATCTTTCCAGAAGATTCTCTGACATTCTCACCACAATTCAAGAGTTTCTCTGGAGGCTTCTGGAGCTTCACATCCTGAAGATGGTGGCCTTCTTCTCTGTATGGGTCGCCCTCGAGGAGGTACAGGCAAAGACTGAAGCACTAAGTTATTGTTGTGTCTTTATTTTGAACATGTTACAACAACAACAGAGAAAAAAGGAAAACAAAACAGTAATAATTATAAATAACTGCAGCAGGAGGAGCTTATTTAATCCCGCCCCCTGGTCTTCTTCCTGTTTATGGCTAAGTATGTAGTATGACCCCAGTAACACATCAACAGATATACAGATATACTGAGATATATACTTATATAAGCATGCTTGTGCACACACACACTTACACACACATCCCTGTAGTGGGTGATCCACCGATCCACGCCCTCCCTCCTCTCTGTACGACTGGTTCATGCTGGGACGTTGCTCCAGTTCTTCTCAGTCTGTTCCTCAGCTTCACTCCACACAGAGATGCAAACTCCTCGTAGTGTTGGACGGATACAGGAATGTTTTGAATGTAATTCCCACATTATCCAAGC